TAATATCAGAGCTAGAAGGGGCCTGAGAACATTGAATATCAGAAGGTCAGAGCTGGAAGAACACAGAATATTAAAACTTTTGGAACTCATTTTTCAGATCTTTTGGAACTCATTTTTCAGATAAGGAAACTGAGGGCCCCCACCCCAAAGTCACATAGTTCATTCACATTAGGCCTCAGATATGGCAGATATTCCTGACTCCTGCTCTCATATTCTTCCCTCTAAACCATGTTGCCCTCCACACCCCCCCCCCACTTCCTGGTACAACCTCATGGCTATATCTGAGGCCAACTTCTCTTTTTCTCAGTTCCCTTGGTTACCCTTTCTGCCAAGTATACAGCTATATACCTAAGTCTCCAAAGCCACTCAGTCATTTTCTTGGACTCTGTCCATCCATCCATTCATTCATTCAACAAATATCTATTGACCATCTGCCCTGTGCAAGATCTGATGCTAAATTCTGGGGAGAGACAAAAATAGCAAATATAAAAGTCACAACCCTCAAGGAGGTTTACAGCATTGTCAAGGTGGACAATGTATGCACACATCATTATAATACAAGGCATGATGTGATAAAGTCCCTAAGGTGGCACAAGAAATGTTATGGAAGATTCAGAGGATGAATGGGATCTTTTGTTTTTTTCTGGCTGGGGCAAATTATGAAAAACTTCAGAAGAGCATGAAATTTAAGTTGAGTTTCTAAATTAGTGGAATATAAGGCTGGAAAATTGATTTATGACCAGATCATGGAAGACCCTAAATGCAAGACTGAGAAACTTGGACTTCTGCTCTTAGACTGTTCCTAAAGGAGACTCTTTCCTGGCTTCTCAGCCTCTAGTTAGATTCCTTGAGTTAGACTCCCCTGGCTTCTTTATCTGTCATCTCTCAGCATGCTTTTTCACTTTGTCTCATGCTTTCTGATCCCAACATTTACCTAAAAAAAAAATCTAGGGGTTATTTACAATTATCTCACCTGCCCATACCCCAGCCCTTCTGCGTCACCCTTTTTCCTGGCTGGCACAGAACTCTCACTCCCAGTTCAAACTGGCTTCTCAAAGAACATTCACATGTGGAAAACCCACTCACTCTTTGATTCCTCTATCTGCTGACTTATTCTAATGAAATAAATCCAGTCCACATAGGATTTTCAATGAAAGAGGTTTTATACTACAGGAAGGTAAATACTCTGGTGGATTCACTTTACACCTTTGCAGAAAATAATGTTATATTTTTTAAAAATCAAAACACCTCACCCTAATTACTCAGAACCATAGCTTCTTAGAATTGGAAAGGTCCTCAAAGACCATGCAGTCCAACCATCCTGAAACAGAAATCCCAATAAAATATCTCTTGTCAAATGATTATAGACCTCTGGTAAGGATGAATTAACTATCCTTAAGGCAACTCATTCCATTGTCAGTCATTTTAAACACCTATTATGTGCAAGCCATTGTGCTATATCCTAAGATGGGCTAAGGAACCTGCAGCCTCCAGGCCACATGTAGCCCTCTAGGTCCTCAAGTGTGGCCCAAAGACTTCAATCAAAGGGCCACACTTGAGGACCTAAAGGGCCACATGTGGCCTCGAGGCTGCAGGTTCCCCACCCCTACCCTAAGAGTAGAAAGACAAGTATAATGCAGTCCCTTTTCTCATACAGTCACTTCTTTCATAGAACCTACTATCTAATGGGGAAAGGAAATGTGAACAAATAACTACAACACAGGAGAGTAAAATGAGATTTGTTTAATATTTTATTTTTTCCAATTATATGTGAAAAGTTTTTAACATTTGTTTTTCAAATTTTGAGTTCCAAATTCTGTCTTCCTCCTCTCTCCCCTCCCTGAGATAGCAAGCAATTTGATATAGGTTATACATGTGCAGTCATGCAAAACATTTCCATATTAGTCATGTTGTGAAAGAAAATACAGGCAAAAAAAAATAAAGTAAAAAATGGTATGCCTTGATCTGTATTCAGAGTCCATCAGTTCTTAAGATTTTCTTTTACATCATCTTTATTTTAAAAAGAGTCTGAGCTAAGTACAAAGCAGGGATATAGACCATGCACCGTGAGAAATTTGAAGGGGGGGATATTGCTTTCACCTGGGGGTGTTAGAGAAGGCTTCATAAAGGAGGTGACATGTAAGGTAGGCTTGGAAGGAAGGAGCTTTAGCAGAGCTTTGGGCATTTGGGGGCAAGGATGAGGAGCTATCTATTTCGGATATGGAGGACTGCAACATCGGTCAAAGCAGAGACAAAAGGTAGTAGGACAAGCCTAGGAGACAGAGAGTAGCTTGTTTTGTCTGGAGCACCCAGCTTTGAAGGGGAGATAAGGCTGGAGAAGTAAATTAGAGCCTTGGGGAAGGTCTTAAGTCACTGGACAGATCTGCTTCAGATTAATTCAACAAGCATTTTCTGCTCAGCATATCCCCAGGGGGTTCACCAACAAAAGGAAAGGCTCCATACACACGAAGATATTTTGATATTTTTTGTAGTAGCAAAGAACTGGAAACAAAGTAAATACCATGGATTGGGGGATGGCTAAACTAATTATGGTACAAGAACACAATGGACTCTTACTGTGCCTCAAGAAATCAGGAACGGTGATGAACAAGGAAGGAGGACTACTGACTGAAGTGAGCAGAGCTGCAAAACAGCATACACTGTGTGTATGTAACCATGTAAATAAGAAAGGAGAACAGTCACACAACAATTGAAACTCAATGTTGCAAAATTAGGAAGAGCAAGCTTGGCCCCAAAAGAGAGATATGAGAAGACGCCTCCTCCTCTGTAGAGGTGAGGGTCCGAAAGTGGGGAAAGTCACTGAGAAAGGCACACTTCTTCAGTCTGCTGATTGGTTTTACTAGAGACCTTTTCCTCTTTTGAAAAGAAATGTATTTGTTATAAGAGATGACTTTCTGATAGAAAGCAATAAAAAATTTTAGGCAATATAAGAATCAATTTTTTAAAAATGTTTATTTTAAAATTTTAAAAATTATTTTTAAAAATTGTATTAATAAAAAAAAAGCTTCATTAGCAAGGCACAGTGGAGATTTTTAAAAAGATCCCTCCACCTCTGAAAAAAGAAAGAAAGAAATAGTTGCTACCCTCTAGGAGTTTATATTCCAGCTGGGACATATAGCCTGTGCATAGATAAGTAGAGCTGCTTTCTTTTGGGGAGGAGGCAAGATCACTAATAATGGCTGGGGAGTTCATGAAAGGCTTCCTGAATGACATTAGAGGCATTAGTATCTGCTTTACTGCTCCACCTAAGAACTATGGGACCTCTACAACTGAAATGCATCCACAGACTGCCCAATGGGTTGTGTACCCTCATAAATGTGAGTTCCTTGAGAGCAGGGACTATCTGAATTTTCTATTTGTACTGGCACTTCATGCAGAGTTTTAGCACATGCTTAATTTTTTTTTGAAGAGAGAGAGAGAGAGAGAGAGAGAGAGAGAGAGAGAGAGAGAGAGAGACAGACAGACAGAGGAGAGAGAGAGAGAGAGAGAGAGAGAGAGAGAGAGAGAGAGAGAGAGAGAGAGAGAGAGAAGGAAGGAAGGAAGGAAGGAAGGAAAGAAAGAAAGAAAGAAAGAAAGAAAGAAAGAAAGAAAGAAAGAAAGAAAGAAAGAAAGAAAGAAAGAAAGAGAGAGAGAGAAGAGAGAAAGCCTTCATGTAGGAGATGGATCCTGAGCTGAGCCCTGAAGGAATCTAGGGATTCCAAGGGGGCAGAGGTAAAAGAGAGAGAATTCTCAGCCTGGGGAGAAGGCCCAGAGCTGAAAGATGGAATGGCAGGCTACTGAGAACAACAAGTTTAACCAGCACAAACCCATCCATGAGCACATGTGAAGCACCTACTGTGCTCCATGTTCTGTACCAGGTATTGAGGATAAAAAGATAAAAATGAAAACAGATACTTATATCCTGCCCACAGACAAGTAAAGATAAATATATTCAAAGTAGCTCCGGGAGGGGGAAGTAAAAGCTGGGGAGACAGGAGGCCTCATGCCAGAGATGAAGTTTGAGCTGAGCAGGAAGGAAGCTGGGGTGTATTCTAGCCATGGGATTCTAGCCTGTGCAAAGGTGTGGAGGCTAGAGTCAGAATGTTATATATGAAGAATGGCCAGGAGTGAGGAGAAGAAAATGTGGAAGTAGGCTTGGGATGGCAGCAAGAGCCCAGCTGCAAGGGCTTTAGATGCCCTTGGTTTTTATTTTGTCTTAGAGGTGATAGGAATCGGCTGGAGTTTCTTGAGGGATGTGGCATGCTCAGAGCAGAGTTTTAGGAATATCAGCTTGGAAGCTGTGTGGAGAATGGAGAAGTCAGAAATGGTTTAGGCAGGAGGTGATAAGATCCTGAAACTAGGGGGGTGGCTTTATGTGATGGAAGGACGGGGCTGGATGCGAGAGCTGCAGAGGGGAGAATGGACAGCCAGCAGATTGATTGGGAGGGGGCCTAGGCTGGCCAGGAAAGCTGGCTAATGGGGAATGGTGGCGTCCTTGACCAAAGTCAGGAAGTGAGAAGGAAGAACAGGAGTTCCTCACGTTGAGCCTCGCTGTACTTTTCATACGCTGAACCTCGGTCTAGTCTTCTAGGTCAAGCAAAACAAACCTGGGCCCCTTTCTGACAGTCCAGGAGGTATTTAAAGACAGGAATCACTCTGCCCCCCTTCCTTCTCTGCCCGCGCATGCAGTGTGACTCACATTGCCCAAAAAGATTGATTAGGATATTGGCAAATCCCGGAAGTCAGATCTGGAACGGATCTCAGCAGCAGTCTAGTCTAGACCAGCCCAAGGCTAGTGTTTGTTTTCCTGCCCCCCCAAAAAAAATTTGTCCAGTGTTACCAGTGGCTTTGTTACTGAAATTTCAGAAATATTCTGGGAACAGGGGACCATTCTGTAGCCTCTGGAACATATCTGATATTACCTATTCCCTCCCAGCCCCAGATTCTTCTTCTTTGTGGAAATGGTGAGCCTAACTTTAACTGTCTCCATTCCTGTTCAGGAGCTGGAAAAGCTGGGACTGGGAGACAGCGTGGACCTTCATGTGTATGAAATTCCTGTGGAATACCAAACAGTCCAAAGGCTCATACCAGCCCTGTGGGAAAAACACAGTCCTCAGGTGAGTGAGGAAGCTTCCCTTCTCCCCACATCCCCTTACTCCCCCCTCCCCAGATGCTAGACAGAGCCTTCCCCAAATTGTAATTGACTCCTCGATATTCAATCCTAACCCCTCCCCAGGGCCCAGATTTTACGATGTCATTGCAATAGCTGGGAATCCAAAATTGATTCTACGTACCATGGATAGACCTGGGGCACATTCCATCTCTCAGCATCTGCACTGAAGGCACACACCTCTTCTTGGATTCACAGTCATGTGCCTTACCAGCACATTCCAATCTTAGGCTTCAGGCTGGTGGAATTGTTTGTGTAGTAAGACTTAAGGAGTGCTGGAAGGTGTCCCCAAAATATACCTTCTCCTACCCAAGCAAGGCCTGAAATGTCCAGATTTAGTAATCCCTTTGCCTGGCATGGGTACCACTAATTTCTTCCCACCACTGAGGAGCTCTCAAAGCCTGTACCAGGGGACCATAAACTTTAGCTGGAACAGCTTTGTGTACAGTGAACTGTGTCTGACATCTGAGGACTAAGCTACCTAAATTGAGAAGGGCTTATCCCTAGGTGAAGCAGGTAATGAATTTTTCAGCCACAGCCTCTCCCACAGACCATTTACTGTGTCACAGAGAGGTTGAAATCTGACATGGATGAAGGGCATTACCACGTCAAGGAAGTGATGAATCTTTGAAGTATTGTTGTAAGATGTATTAGGTTAAGATCATTACTTCCAGGAGTAACAATAAAATGTATCTGCTGGGATTTATACTGGAACCATGAATTATGTCTTCTTCCAGCCGTACCAGTCATGATTAAGCATTCTAAATGTGAAACCACAATGGGTCCCTAATAGATGTGGGGTATCAGCAGGAGGTCAGACTCTTGAGGAAGGCCCATAATACTCTGCCTAAGCCAGCCAAGCTGTATCAGAGTTCAGTGTGTCTTCGGCAGGCCCCTGTGTCCCCATCCTTTGTCTCCACATTTTCACTCAGTCCTTGCCTGTTTCTTTGTATATAGTTGCAGCCTATGTATCACGGCTCTGCTTCCTTCATCTGTTATTTCAAGGCTTCTCCTATTTCTTTACATTCCTCCCGACTGTCACTCTTCATTGTATCATGATGCTCTGTTACTTTAACATATCCCAGGTTTGTTTTTTTAACCTGTTTCTCGCTTGGACTAAGTTTGTTTTGCTGTTTTCTCAACCATCTGTTATTGAGTGGTTGGGGCTTTTGTTTTCAATATTGTTCTTATAGTATAGTCCCAAAAATAGTCCAAAGAGTATGATTATTTTTATAACTCTTGCATCCTGCCAAATTATTCTCCAAAAAGACGGTATCCATTTGTAATTCTACCAGTAATATTTTAGCCAGCACTTATCAGACAATTTAGAAAGGACAGAGAGCTAAGTTGTGGAGTCCTGAAATCTTAAGCTATCTCAAATCAAATCATAGAATTTGGCATAGTTTGGCTTTTTGGACTAACTACTCCCTTTTTCATGGATCTCACCACTGGGCAAGGCTTTGCTACCTATTGCAATGTTATCCTAGGTGAAAGACCCTGCCTGACCTCCTAAAAAATTCCACTTCCATGATGCATCTTTTGGCCTCTTCCACATAGTGAGGCAAGGTCACACAGCTGTGTGCTGGGTCCCATGAATATTTCACACTTGCCCCAGCCCTGCTACTGACTTGAACCATTCCTCAAGTTTAGACTGAAACAAAGAGTGAAAAATCTATCTAACTCTATCTAGTTCCCATTACTGTTAAGTGCATCGTTCCTCTGCAGCTGGTCGTCCACGTAGGGGTGTCTGGCATGGCAACCACAGTTACCTTGGAAAAGTGTGGCCATAACAGTGGATACAAAGGGCTGGACAACTGCCTTTTCTGTCCTGGCTCCCACTGCTGTGTAGAGGATGGGCCCGAATCCATCGACTCCATCATCGACATGGACGCCGTCTGCAAGAGAGTGACCACGCTGGGCCTGGATGTCACAGTGACCATATCCCAGGATGCTGGCAGGTGGGCACAGAGCTCGGGGGGCATGGCCTGCCCCCAGCCTTCCTTTCCGTTTCCTCATCCATAGAAGGAAGGGTTTTGACTAGATGCCTTTATGATCATATATCGTAAATCATATGATCTTATGATTTTTATTACGGGCAATTTGGAGTCATTAGGGCTGATCTTCTCCTCTGAGACCAGACCATCCCCTTTTTTGTAGAATCACAGACTCAGATTTAGAAAGGCCCTGAGAACTCTCTAGTCTGCCCTGCCTCTTATCTACCTTCCTAATAAGCAGTCACATAGCCTCTATCTAAAGACATCTGGTCACAGAGAATTTGTTACCTGTTGAAGCATCCCGTTCCACTATGGGAAGTTCCACAGTGGGAACTTCTGTATCAGAAGGCAAAATTCAGTTCCCTGCAGCTCCCATTCATTATTTCTAGTTTGGCCATCTAGGGCCAATTAGAATAAATATTATTTCTCTCCTCCCACTGCAGCCATTGGCTCAGTGGATAGAGCACTGGGCCTGGAGTCAGGAAGGCCTGAGTTCAAATCCAGCCTCAGATACTTCCTAGCTGTGTGACCCTGGGCAAGTCACTTCACCTCCATCTGCCTCATCTATAAGATGGGGATCATAACACCACCTACTTCCCAGGGTTGTTGTAAAGATCAAATGAGATGATATTTGTAAAGCGCAATTGAATGAGGTAATATTTGTAAAGCTTAGCACAGTGCCTAGCACATGGTAAGTGTGATATAAATGTTAAGTAGTAGTAGTAGTAGTAGTAGTAAAATGGGGATACTAACAGCACCTACTTCTAGGATTGTTGTGAACACCAAGTGACATAATATTTGTAAAGCGCTTAGCACAAGGCCTGGCACAGAGTAGGGACTATTCCCTTCCCTTCCTACGGAAAAGCCCGTACAATATTTGAAATAGTAATAATTTCAAAGTCTTCTCTTCTTCAGACTTTTTCAAACACCAGACTAAGACTTGAGTCTAAAAGTGTGCAGACCAGAGTAATTAACCTGAATTTGAGAGGCCTATGTAAAATCTCGGTGGGGTCGACAGGGTCCATAGACATGTTTAAAAGTGTCCGTGACTGTAATGCATACAAGGACCACCTTGATACCATCCCAGTGGGGAAATGCCTCCCTTTCGCCCATCTAGAACCACCCCACGAGTGGCTCATCCAGCCTGAGTCATCACTTTGACTTAGGTTATTTGACTCCTCATTACATTCAATTTTAATTTCCAATCACTAACCATCTTCTGGTGTATTTCTCCTTTTTTTGCCCTCCTTTCCTCTCGCCAAACCTTAGGTACCTCTGTGATTTTACTTACTACACCTCCTTATACCAGAGCCACGGCAGATCTGCATTTGTGCATGTCCCTCCACTAGGAAAACCCTATAATGCAGACCAGTTGGGCCGGGCCCTACAAGCCATCATCGAAGAAATGCTGGACGTGTTGGAGCAGTCTGAAGACCAAATCGACTGCAGCCACCAACACTGAGCAGGAGGGGATGGGTGGATTGTCGTGGTGACACTTGGGAGCGGTCCCTTCCTGCTCAGGACTCTAGGTATGCCGTTCAGCTCTGCCGTATAGCACAGGCACTAAAAATGCAAGCACACAGACTTGGCTTTGCTCAGTTTCTCTGATGCATTCCCCTCCTCTTACCTTGCACCAGTGAAGTTGATTCAAGGAAGGGGGCAAAGGTTTCTCTTTCTACTTTCCTTTCATTTTCTTTTTTGAAAACCAGCTGCAACCATTTACTTTGTTTCCTGAAGTGGCCAGACTTTGAGTGATATCAACAGATTTGACTACATGCTGAGGTCCAGATGTTCAGGATTGACATCTGGAACTGGAGTGTTTGGTTCAAGGGAAACTGGATGATGACCTCCCCCTTTCCCATGGTGCCTGGGTAGTCCTTAATGTAAAAGGTTGGGTAAGGGATTTTGGCTCGGTCTTTGTATGCAGTAATAGAAAACAGGCAAACCTGAAAAAGACTGGGGTGGGATAGCTTTCATTTCAAGGCTAGCGCTAGTTTGGGACACATATTAATTTATAATCCTTTTTGGTTAAAAGTCAAACATGATACAGCAAAGCTGTTTTTTAGTTTTAAGTTGGGATTCAGTTTCTTTCCATCAGCTCCAAAGGTTCAGCCCAGAAATGTGGATCTATGAGACTGACCGTTGCTCTGGGTATCCTAGGGAGCCCCGCAGAGATCCATTTTTCTTGCTGTCTAGAGTGTGGAGGGAGGTGTCCCACTGCCAGCTGCACACCCTCCTGGCCAGTTCTCCCACCCTAGCCCAGAGCAGATGCTTTGTGTTGCTTGGGAGAAAAAGATTGTTTGGTTTGTGTGTGTGTGTGTGTGTGTGTGTGTGTGTGTGTGTGTGTGTGTGTGTGTGATGTTTTGCTTTGATGGCATTATTTTTCATTCTTAAAACACACACATACACACACACACACACACACACACACACACACAAAACACAACACAACAATTCATTGAGTTGAAAAAATATCCGAGCAGCCACTGTCTGCCATTTGTGATTCGTTTGCCTGCCCTCCTGGTACTACAGGTGGATACAGCTCAGTAGCCTTTAGAGTAACTCATCATGTTGTATTATCTTTTCTGTACTGCCCCTGTGAAGGGGAAGGCTCCCTGGTAGGGACTCTATTTTAAGAGCTGGTGATGAGTTCATTAGACGACCATTTCCAAAGGGGATTTCCAGGCAGCGCTAAAAGTGTGCATGTAGTCTTCCCCACTTTCTTAGATCTAACCTAGGAGTGTTGAGGCCTAGAGTGGGGTTTGGGGGAGGGGGTGCCGTGAGACAGGAGAAAGACCCTCCAATGGAACTTTGACCTTCAGCTCTTCATGTCAGGACATGGCGATGAGAGCACTGAGGGCCCTAGTGGGGGAGGCAGGCATTGGGCCTTCCAGCCAAAGCTGAAGAAGTTAGCAGCAGGGCAATCCCCCAGCCCACAAAAAGTAGCCAGAAACTGTGTTGTGCAATAGGGGGCAGAGTCCCTATGAACAAAAGTGAGACCAGGCATTGCTGAGCTGTGTCCTGAAGACAGTTTAATCACCAATAAGTAGCTTAAGCATTTCCCCAAACTTTGCTCAGGAATCCCTCCATTTCTTTTGTAAACCTTTTTGTTTTTAAAATAAATATGATTTTACAGTGAAATCTGCTGGAATTGGACTCAGTAAGAGCCATCCTATCAGCATTTCCCAGCAACAGATTCTGTTTTTTAGATGAAATTCATTTTCTTAATGAAGGAAAAAGGCAAGATTTTTTTTTAAGGCCATGAGTAATTTCTACTCTTTTCTCTTCCTTTGGAGGCAATATGGCTTAGTAGATGGTGTGATGTATTTGTTCTCAGCGAGACCGGGATTCAAATCCTGCCTCTGACATTTACTAGCTAGCTGAATGACCTTGGGCCTCAGTCTCCACTATAAAATGGGGATAATACCTATAGTACCTACCTCCCAGGGCTGTTTGTGAAGCTCAAATGAGAACATGTATGTGAAGTGCTTTGTGAAATTTAAAACAGTATCTGAATGTTTAGTTATTATTTCCAGAGCTGCTGAACCTTTGGAAAACGTGAATATACTGAAGATGGGGATGCAGTTTGAATCTCTTTCAAAAATCCTTGGCTCCCTTTGACCAGGAAACAGCAAGGGGGAATGGGAGGTTTGTGGCTGAGTCGAGTAAGAAATCTTGAGAAGGGTCCTCGGTGACCAGCAGATAAAAAGTCCCCAGGCTTTGTGCTGCCAGGCACTCCCAGGCAGTTGTGCAGTATTCAGCTGTCTTGCAGAACCTGTTGGGTCTGGTTTATCCACATTACTCCCCAAGGAGACAGACCTTTTCCCCCACTCTGCTCTTCCTCCTGAAGTCATATGTCTGATTTGGCCAGGGTCTGAGTTCTTGGTCTGTTAGACTGAGTATATTTGTCCCACTCTTGGAGGAGTGTGCATGTGTGAGTGTGTTTGTATGCATGTGTTTGTGTGTGTGTGTGTGTTTGTATTCGTGTGTGTGTGTGTGTGTGTGTATGTGTGTACACATTGACAATTTCCTATTGGAAACCCTCTTATTTAAGGTTTTTGAAAACAGGATGTCTGTGGAGTTTGTGGCTAGTAAACCTCCCAATATAGATGAGGGAGCATACTCTGGAATGTCCCCTGAGGTCATGAACTTTGAAACCAGCTGGAGAGAAGAGTGTAAGGCATGGGGGAAGCTTAGTGGTAGAATCTGGGGAGCAGGGGCAGCCCTGAACCCCACAGCCTTCAGTGGGGGGGGACAGACTTTTCCTAAGCACATTTGTGTCAGTCGCTGATCTCTTGACAGCCATTCAAGGATTTGAACAAAGAGTTTGCAAAAGAACAGCAAGTTTCTCTCTCCAACGTTGTGCTCATTTTGGGTGGTTTGTTTCTATTTTTATTTTTTGGTTTTGACTTCCAATCCATGTTTAAAGCATTGTGTGATTTTATTTACTAGAAACGTAACTTATTCTATAATCGTTGATTTTGCAAATGAGTAAGTAGCTGAGTCCCATCTATAGAGATGGGTCACATATCTTGTCCTTAGTGAATTTTGTATAGTGATCACCGTAATTGTGGTATCCAGCTCATTTTATTTAATCTGATTTAAATTAAACATTTCACTCATCACTGCCAACTTTTTAATTTTCTCCTTTGGTTAAATCCATTCATCCACCTCTTCATCTCTATTTCGAGAGCCACACCCAGTATTCCTTGCAAGGCACTTTTTTTTCTCTTCCTTGGTTCACAATGCTTTGGGCTCTTTTGGGACAGGGTTAATCTGGGGAGTGAGGTTTGGGTTAGCTGAGGTCAATGGGAGCTACTGAGAGCTCCAGAGGGGTCCCTGGGGGACTTTCACAGAGCAGGCAAGTATCATGACAAGTGAAAGACAGATTGAAGCAATGTAGTGAGAGGGTTAGTCAAAGAAGGAAGAGTGGGAGCATCCTCGGAAGATAATCAATAAGTCTTTGCTTCAGTTAAGACTGTGTGTCTCTCTCTGCTAGGCTGCCAGGCTGTGCCCTCTGGGCAGCAGGATATCAGTTTTAGGTGGGGGAGGTGGCTAAATCATGGTTCTTTTAATTTCTAAATAACAGTAGATCATAGAATCATGGCATTTCTGAGCTGATGGGGACCTTACAATTTTCAGGAAGAGAGATATTAATGAAAGGCATTGTGGTGGAAAGAGCCCTGGACTGTTGGGAGATCTGGATTCCAATTCTGATTCTGCCACCAACATGCTTCATGACCTAGGCAGGCCCCTCTCCCTCTTGGGGTTTTTAGGGCCCAATGTGTGAGATGAAGGTCCTGAGGTCACACTCAGCTCTGACTTTCTATGAGTCCATGACATGTCCATCCACCTTTGAGAAGCCTGAGCTTTCATTGACTGAAGTTCCTCTTCCAAAGTTGTAATTTCTCCCTTTTGTAGAGGTTTGACACCTGCTTTTTTTTATTTCATCTCCAGCCTTTCCAGAATGCAATCTCCGTGCCACCCCTCCTCCCCCAAAAGACGCCATATGGCATATTTTTCAAAACAAATAAATCTAGTTTTGAAACACTAGCAGCTCTGGGAAGGTGACTGGTGTCTGGCAGCTATAGCCTGGGAATCATTGTTAACACAGAAACTCCAAGGGTCCAGAGAAGGGCAGGAGGGAGCAGTCGTGTATGAGACAGTGAGGAAGGGGAGGGCAAGATCCAGATGGGCTAGAAGGAGAAAGATCGATGAAATTGGAAAGGAGCCAGAAGGATTAGAGAATCCTCAAATGTCAGATTTAGAAGAGGACCTCAGAAATCAAATAGTATAACCCTCTCATTTTTGACAGTTGAGGAAACAGAGGTCCAAGGAAGCAATTTCCCCAAGAGCAGACACTAGAACCCAGTTCTGTCTCCCAGCCCAGAATGTAGGTAGAACCCCTAGAGACAGAGTCAAAATGTGAAGATTATGCTACAAAAACAAGTCCACACGCCTTAAGGCTGAGGGATAGCCTGCAGAGTATGGCTCTTCTAAACCCACTGGAAAGATTGTTTTTTGTTCCTTTTGAAGTTGCCTGTGTAAAACCGTTGCTGCTGGTACCCCCAAAACCTTTTCTTTTGGTATTCGCCCACCATCCCTTCCCTCCTAATACCCTGTAATTGTCTGAAATGAGTGAACTATAGTCAGGAGAGGGCCAGTCTAAAACATGAGATATGTGGGACTCTGAGCTGGAGAGAGTTTAAACTCCCCAGAGGTCTGGTCCCTGCGCTGCTTGGCAACCTCATTGAAGGAGTCAGTGACCCAGGTTCTCTTTGGATGGCAGGTGATGGCTCCCTGCCACCCAGCCCAGGCCTAGCCCTGCAGATATACAAACCTCAGGAGCTCCTTTTGGGAAAACCCAAAGGAAACTCAGTGGCTCCTGATAATGGCCAATAGTCATTCTTGAAGCATTCAAGTGCCCTCCTGAGGACCCTGTGCCAAGTAGAGCCTTTAGAAGTTCCTGAGTTTTGATAATCTGAATTATTTTCTACTTTCATACCCTATGTAGCTTCAGATAGTACTATCCCTTGTTGCCAGACAGGCCAGACAGTCCTGGCAGACAGGAATAAAATGTATATTTTAGTGGGGTTTTATTTAATGAGCCCAGTTTACCTGGGGAAGCTCAAGGGACAGAGAGGGGAAAGAAGAAAGAACTATGCTATTGGAATATTTTTTCTACAACTAGTCC